GGTCTGGCCACAGAATGCAGCATGCAAAAGTCCCACTGCCCCTCTCAAGTACATGTATACACTTCTGTTGAAACCAATACCCCCACGTTAAATATTTATGTCCTGTCTTTCATATGTATGTATCCAGCAGCAGCATCTACCTATCTCATTTCACTCGCTGAGGCATGCCAGATTCACCCCAAAGAGAAAATTCATAACATGGTAGGGATCCTCATTAAGAATTTCTTCAGAGTCTTAAAGATGAATATGTTCTAAACCATATGAACTTGCCTGGTTGTTCCTATCATCAATGGAAGTCTGGCTCTGGGTGCCCCCATCTTTTGAGGTAAGGTAGATAGCTTTCCTTGTGATGGCACCTACGTCTATGGAATTCTCCCCTCCATACTCATTCATATCTCACCTACGTTGCTGAGTTTTAAGTACTAGGCAAAATCTTTCTTGTTTACTCAGGATTTGAGTAAGAATGACAAATTAACCTTGCTGTTGGTGTAATTTGTTGGAGATTGTTCTTGTCTTATTTTGTATTGCTCATTTTATATTATGTTTCCCGTTAAATATGTTGTAAACTGCCATGAGTAATATGGATAAAAACTGGGGTGTATACATTTTAAATAAGCAAATAGGTAACCAAGTAAATAAATAAATAGTCACCAGATTATTATTCCTATTTCATCATATTTTACGGATTCTAGAGCCTTAAAGTGTAAGCATCATGTTGAAAATGTTGATCTATCTGATATGGAATTGTAAATCTGTAGGGAACGTGGTATGGTACAGCTCAATCTCATCAGATCTTGGAAGCTCAGCAGGACTTGGATGGGAGACCTCCAAGGCAGACTGCAGAGAATGGCAATGGCAAAACCACCTTTGCTTCTTACTTGCCTCGAAAGCCCCTTGCTGGGTTTCCTATAAATTGGCTGTGACTTGACAGCTCTTGACACACATACAAGAGTGGCAACGAAAACATGACCAAAATAATAAGGAAACCTTAGCATTTCCTAATATTGCACTGCAATACTATGTATTGTAATCAAGTATTACATTGACAGTTGTCTTGAATCATATAGTTAAATATAGAACAAGTAAGAAGCAAATTCCCATTAAATTATTTACCATGGTTTTGTCAAAAGATAAATTCCTTTCTGGATAAAAATCTCTTGTATTTAATAATCACACTTGAGTATATGGAGCAAACCAATAAAAATGAATCTGGATCTTCATATAACTGTTTTTTCATCATTTGTTTATAATGATCAAGACATAATAGCTGATCCATTGAGATTGTGGAAAGATACGCTATCAAATGCCAACAAGTGATGAAAAATAATGAAGTGAGATTATCAACGTTTATCCAACTGTATGAATGGAGAAATGCCAGTATTATTTTAATATTTTCTATAGAAATAAAATTAACAGCTAAGAGGATTCTAATGCTAAGATGCTGCAAGTCTCAGGAGAGGCAGCATAGACATTTTCTAAACATATTCCAAATTGAATGCATATATGCCAAGTCTGAACTACTATGTGATGAATAATAGAACAGAGTAACACTTCTATCCAAAATATAAAACATATTGTTGGCAGGAGAACAACATCTAGGTAACAGTTTGAAAAGAAAAAGGGCAACCTTTTTGTGAAAGCAATTCCTGGAAGATAAATAGTGGAAAATATCTTCGCATCTATGCCAGGAACCTTTGCTCATATTAATTTTAAAAATAACCAATCTAAAGTATATGTATCGATGATACAAAAATGTTGGACTTGTAATGATAAAGGTGATTTTGCACATATTGATAGGAGTATTCCAAAATGTAAGTCCAATTGGAAGGAGATTATTAGGTAAAATAAATGTGTAATACAGTATACAATTCTACAGAAATCAGATATTATATTACTTGGTGATGATAAAATATTTACTAAAACAAGATTGGTTATCGAACATGTTAATAATAGCAATGATTCTGGTTGCCAGAAATTTAAATCTAATAAGGTTTAACATATTCAGAAAAGGATTAACACAATGTATCAAGTTTAAAGATATGGCAAATGATGGTGTGCAGGACAGTCTATTTAAGAAAGGTAACTTTTATTCCATTGGGGGGAAGAGTTATACATAATGACTCTGTGGTTATACATAATTTGTATAGTGCATGCACAAACCACTTTTCTATACAGTGCATACGTGCATGCCCTCTTATAATTGGTGTGCAACATCCCTTGCTCTTTGACACCAGTCAGCATTCCTCTGTGACTAGTTATAGGAACTTGAATGCTACTTTCACCCCAGTTGCAAGTGGACAGAGGAGGCAACGGCACATGGATCGGCATGATGCAAGACATGTCCATGTCCCTTGATATACCTATAAAAGGTATACCTTAAAAGCAGACACAACTAATTTCCTAGTATAACCAAACATAGAGGCTTCATGGTTATGAAATTAGTTGTTATGGCAAAGCTTTTGCATTGAAGATCAGAAGTGTGCTGACAGATTCCATTGGCTGGACCAAATGGAGAAGCCAGTGCTAGCACTGATGTCCTCACTGCCCAATATTGTCCAATGGTGTGTGAGCAATGGCTTGAAGGTTCTTGTGTATCCTTTCATGTCGAGTGACCTTTGTCTGGGATTCTTTCCACTGAAAGACCATGAAAAGATAATCTCTAGCCCTGACTCTCCAAATTTTCTCATGAACGCCTTCTATAATAATGATGGACAGGGGAAACTATTCCCACTCCCTTTCTTGAAATACTGCTACTACAGCAAATGCAACCTTCCAAATCCAGCATGTTTATAACAACTGCATCCTGGCTGGACTGATGTTGTTATATATACACACATGACACTGCTTTATACTGAATCAGACCCTTGGTCCATCAAGGTGAGTAGTGTCTACTCTAACTGGCAGTAATTCTCCAGGGTCTCAGGTATAAGGTCTTTCACATCCCCTACAACCTTATCCTTTTAACTGGAGATGCCAGGGATTGGACCTGGGACCTTCCGCATGCCAAGCAGCCACTCTACCACTGAGCCACAGCCCCTCCCTTGAGTCCTGAGCATTGTGCATCACTTTCCAGACCAGAAGTTACAGAAGCATGATTGGGGGGATAGTTATTGGGCCCCATCACAGAGGCTTTTCAGCAGAAGGCTGTGAAAGATGACTGGGTTCGAACACGGTATGGAAACAACACAGCATCAAGACAATTGTTTCCAAAACAATGAGCTCAGTGGATGGGTCCTGTGAATCAACACATGGCTGTTAGAGGGAATAGGGGCATAACTTAAAACAGTTCCCCTCAGAAAGAGGGTGAGGCTAGGATCATGTATATTTCATTTTATATCATCTCCCATATCTCTGTTCACCTCTAAATGTATGGGTTATGAATCTAAACAACATGGGTTATACATTGTCCCTTTCTTCTTTTACCTGGCCTTGTGCTAGATTCAGTGCTTAGAGGAGGGTGAGAAGATCAGTCCCTTGGCCCTGAATGGGACCAGTGTTCCTCCGCGCTGGGCTCCAAGTGTGATCTGAGGTATCCCTACTTAGCATGGTCTGAGAGCAAGTCCATACATTTTTCTAGCAGTGTTTTTGGACACAGTTCCAGCCATATGGTCCTGCAGTACCTCACCTGTGCTTTACGGCCCCGATTGACAAAGGTACAAACGGGATTGTATGCCCCAGTGCCACACACATATAGATGGGTTCGATTCCAGGGCTGGATAAGACGGATGAAGTTGCCACACTCGCCCTGAAAAGCAAAGGGAGATGTTACATTAGTCCAAGCCCCACTGAAATTAAATCCAAGGAGGACAAGCAGTCAGTCTATGAAGCGTTGGGTGGTTCATGAAGGTGTAAAACATATAATTAAGCCATCAAGCAACAGACTGGGCATTAAATGAAAACTCCCAGTAACTCTCATCCATTCACATTTTCCAGGTTCAGACAGTGCTGGCTCTTTGGCTTGGAAACGGAGATGAGCACCACCCCCTAAAGTCAGATTCAACTAGCTTTGAAGCAAGGGAAACCTTTACCTTTATGTCAAGTGGGCCCCTTTTCCCTTCAACAATGTTCACTTCTAGTTAAGAATGAGACTACCAAGGTCTGACCCTCTTTGACGATTAGCAAATAAACCTTTTGTCCCCAGTCTCAGCAGCACCTTTTCCAAGAATAAGTTGGATGTACTTCACAGTTAATATTCCTGCATCTCCTCTGCACAGTGTCCCGGTTGGAAGAATTTCAAACTAAAAAAAACCCTTTTTTGGAGCCAGCACTCCTTTTTTACATCTTATACTCTAGAATCTGTATCTGAAGCAGACTATAAACAGTGGACCTTAGAAGTTCCCCTTCTTGGGCACTCTTTCTGAAAGCTGAGAAAAGCATCACTGTAATATTGCTGAGAAATATCTTGGTGTCAGGATGGCAACCTTCAGACTTCTGTTCCTGCTTATTTTCAAAAGCCAGAGAAAATTCTTTGAATAACAAACACATGAACGTAAACTCCCTGCAATGGACCCAGGAGGAGAATAGTCTGGCCTTAACTGTGGAGGGAAGAAAGACAATACAGACGAGTCAGCCTCTGGGTCACTGCTCATTAAGAGGCTCTGAAGGGCTAGGAAACTGATTGGCCAGTGAGGCTTGGGCAGACTAGCTAATGGGTAAGTGATAGTGAGGAAGCCCGGAGGGCAAACAGAACAATCCCCAGAGTGTATGCAAATAGAGATGTCAAGGCACGAACTTGTTAACTAATTGGATTCAAGACCAGGCTTGGGACACTGTGCTGTGTATCTGGGCGCCAAGTCCAGTTTCCTCCTCACAGCTCATGTTTCCTCTTTGCCTCACGCCCCCAGTTAAGGGGATCGTGCAAAACTGGGCCACAGCCAAGGGGGAACAGAGTTCAGTAGGATGGGAAATATGCAAGCAAAACACAGTTTCCTTTGCTAAGCCAGCTTGGCTGCTCCCAGCCTGAGCCCTGAACAGTAGCAGCTGAGGATTCCCAGAGAGTTCAAGGTCAGCTGGTCAAAAAACTGAGGGTTGTAGGAAGCAGCTTGGTTACCTTTGACTCGTTTCCTTTTAGTGAGATAACAAAATATGCAGTACTGCCGAGGGGCTCAGCTGGGGCTAGGTAAAATGTTTCAGTTTTCTAAACTACTGATGACAAGCCGTCTTCGCCTACTTCACCTTTCCTGGCCTCCTAGCAACTTGCTAGCAATTGGTCTCTCTAGACAGAAGCCATTACCACATGAGTTACTTACTCTCCAGGTTTGCTGCTGTTGCAAAGTGGGCATTTTTCTGCTTCCCTCCTGCATCGTGGTGCATTTGTGCACATTACACCTGCCCTCACCTCAAGTTTCCACAGCTTTTCTCCAATTTTTCCCAAATCAGCTTTGCTGCAAAGTTTTGGGAGAGATTGCAGCAAAGCTTGAATGGCTGCTGTGTGGCCAGGCCTGCCAACATGACAGGATATTTCCCCTGTCCTTGTCCCTGTGGCAATCATTTCATTCCCTTGCCACTGTTTTTTTAAAGCTGGTAACAGAATGTCACAAGTGGGAGACCCACAAGGACATGCAGGAACATCACATTTTCCTCTGCCCCATAATTTCCTCTTTCC